CACTCTCCGCGTCGCTATCACATTCAGAGATGTCCGGACGACCGACGTCGGCGAGTATGTTAGCTAGCTGATCCGTCAGAGTAGGACTGTTATCCATGGAGTTGCTGGAGAGGAAAATCAGTAGGGGTCGAAATAGGGCCTGTATGAAGCCTGTGGACACCTCTTGGTATGCATCCGCTGCTGCTTCCATCAAATCTCCAGACGTCGTCTTAGGTGCGGATTGTGCTGCCTGCCGACTTGGCTCGGGCGTAGTTGTCCGTGAAAAAGCCAGCGCAGTCGGCAGAATGCTGTCGACAATTAGGTGTATGAGCTCTTGAACGCTCTAGTAGACAAATTAGAATGGAACTTTAATGAGCCGGATGACTACTCACACAAAGGAATCAGCACAGGGTGAAGGGAAGACTAGCGAGGAAGGAAGAGGAATCGCAACTAGACAAAACTAAGCCCTTTTAGAATTCAAGACTGAGGTCTGCCTGTCCTGGGGTATGACGACGCCAGTAATTCAGGAATATTTCATTAGCTCTCAGTGAATAATGTGTATTCCGAGCAAGTGCATGGAGATTTTTATTGGATTTTTGCGTGTCTCGCGGTGTCGTTCTCTCTCTCTCTCTTTCTCTCTGATACACACACACTTGTTGGTAGTAATTATCGTTTCTGTGAGCGTTTTAGACTAGTTTCAAGACAGAACGCATAAGTACGTATTTTTTTCAGGATATATAGGTGAACACCAGTCAACACCTCACTATCTTTGTGTTGGGAATGCCGCCATTCCTATGATGAGTCTATACACAAAGGCGTCGTCGCGAATCTACCTGACAGCCGGCCAGTATGTCTGCTCACTTCTGATTGGCTCATTGTCCAGACTATATCTCTCGCGTTTCCCATTAAATGCACTGGGCCTTTATGTGTGAACGACTCGCTGTAAAGTGGTTTTTCTGAGTACACGCTCTCTCCCTCTCTGGCCGACTGGTCTTCTCTGCTTCTCGCTTACGGGCCTTGGGTATCGGGGCCGGCTATTCAGCGTTCATGCTAATCAGAAGTACCAGACGCGGGTCGTAACAGGATTCAGGTAAGCGCTCAAGTAAATTAGGGTTACGGTCAGGTTAATGCTAACTATAAAAGGTAAGGGTTTACAGTAGGACCAGGGCTGAAAGAAGGGATACTGGTTGGATTTAGGCTAGAAGTAGGGATACGGAAATATAAACCCTTCCCGGAATTAGGCGCAGTATCACCTTTATTACTCGGGCGGAGCGTTCCTGTGCCCGTGCCTTGTTTAGGATCCATATAAGTAGTAGAATATATTGATGTTGTACCTTGCCATACCCTTGGCAGCAAAAATATATTACGCAGTGGTTTACGGGTTTCAGGCCGAATATACACTTACGATTTTGGTCTATGCCCATAGACCTTAAATATACTGATGCAAACCACGACCAGAAATTATTTTTTTAAGGAAATTAAAAAACGCTGGACGGCAACAGTAGCTTATGTAGCCCCACTCATTAATCCCTACTCCCTGCATAT